GTATGCACCAACATCACTTAAAAGGTTATATCCAACATCTAAACCTGAAGCACAGATGAATAGAAGCTGACATTCCTTATAAAGAATGCTTAAAATCAGATCAACGAAAAGCAGGAGGTATTGATTCTTATGGAAACATACCATTAATATACAGACAATTCTTTAAAATTCTGGAAAGAATCCAAAAATCTTCACTTGTAACTCTTTCTACTGACACTAAGCGATTGTTACCAGCAATGTTTAATGTAATTCCTCCTTCTAGTCTGTTAAAATACAAAAAAAAAAAAAAAAAAAAAGATTTTGAAATAGAAACCCAGTAAAGAAGTAAAAATATGTTTACTTCATGTGTAAATAGTCATATCACAGATAACATTTACTGGAAGCAAGCATATAGTAAGTAGACTTCTAAGTATATATTTATACCAGGTAACTTAAAACTTCTTATTCTGCAGACTGCAAAGTGCTTAAAAGATACCATATAATTTCTCTCTCTCTCACACACACACAGTATCCCCACTTTATAGATAACAACATTGAAAACTTCAATGATTTGCTTAGATTCACCCAGCTCAGGCCAGGCGCAGAGGCTCATGCTTGTAATCCCAGCACTTCGGGAGGCCAAGGCGGGTGAATCACCTGAGATCAGGAGTTCAAGACCAGCCTGGCCAACATGGTGAAACCTTGTCTAATAAAAATACAAAAATTAGCTGGGTGTGGTGGCAGGTGCCTATAATTCCAGCTACTCTGGAGGCTGAGGCAGGATAATTGCTTGAACCCAGGAGGTGGAGGTTGCAGTGAGCCAAGATCACACCACTGTACTCCAGCCTGGGCAACAGAGCGAGACTCCATCTCACACACACACAAAAAAAGATTCACCCAGCTCACAGGAGTTAAAGATCAGTCTGGAGCCCAAGCTTGGATACTCCTGCTCTAGTGCTCTTTTCTAACTGCTGTACCACCTTAAGACATACTAACAGTGTTGCTCATCTACTTACTTACCTAAATCAAAAGATATGTCCATTTTACCAAGCATTTTCAAATGGCTATAAAATCACTCAATATTTTAAGATTTTCATACACATGAATATAAGCAAACACTATTGATGTAATCAAGTATTTGTCTTTCTTACCCCTTTTTAATTTCTTCATCCAGTTCTTGGAGTATATGCAATATAAAAGGATTAATTTTCTGGGATTTTTCCATACACAGATTAGAATACTGTTCCTGAAGACCAGATTCTGGAGATTTTGAAAAATAAATGCATCCTTCATCACATAAACATTATTCCAGAAGCTTTTTGTTTAAAAAAAAAAAAAACATAAAAACTATACTTCTTTCAAAGATATGAGTTGTATGTGTGTGTGCAGTAGGGGTAGAGAAAAGGAAACAAGGATAGAAAAAGAGAAGAGAAATAAAAATAATGAATGCTAGAGAGAATTAAAATGCTGTTTGGAGAACTAGGGCCATGGAAACACCCATGAGGCTTGGCAGACACTGACTCAAGTGAGCACCCTAACTTGGAAGCGACATACAGGGAAAACTAAGCTCCATTATGTGCCAGGCTGGGTAGCTGAGGAAAATGACCTCTAAAGAAATTGTAGATTTTAGCCAAAACCATGCAGCTAGTAAGGGCAGAGTGCAGAAGCAAACTGATTCCAAAACCTCTTTCCACTGTGTCCTATTGGATTGCAGTGACTCAAGGTTACTTTGTTTCTTTTTATTTTTTCCACCTCAGCATCTCAGCATCCACCAGAGGAAAAGGTTTCTTAAAGTAGCTTCATATAAAAACAATTTTATCCAAGAACCTAACTCAAAAGGGATCTGAAAAATCACCGACTCCCACAGGCTTCTTGGATACCCTCTACACCATCCCAAGTTTGAGTATAACTCAGTTCTTATTCATACCAAATCGAGGCCTGGCTCACAGAAGCTCTTCTCCTACCAAGTCTTCCATTTCCTCTTTGTAAAGGCGACTTTTCCCTAAGTTCTTAAGAAGATAGAAATAAAGCAAGAGTTGAGATCTCCTTTCTGTTGTACATGCAGCTTTTCTTATGGCCTTACTCTTTTCAATAATACCTTAAAAGCATCTTCTGCAAGGCCTACATCTTCTGGGGTGGAAGTTATGCTGTTCCTTTTCTTAGAAGCACAGGTCACTGTCTGTCTTTGTTTTCTGTACTTCTACCTTTTGTGGACGTCTTTTTAAAATTTGTGCACAGAGATCTCATTGCTCAACCAGCCTAGCTTTTTAGGAGCTGCCTTTTCTTCTAAGTCTCTGCATCTCAGAAATGTCATTTACTGAGAGTGTCCTTTGCACTCTGAAGAATAGTTTGCTAAACACATCTGCAGAACAAGATTTAACATGAGGAGCATTATATTTCAGATGGCAAACAAAATTTTCTTCTAGTTTTTAATAACCTTTTTTAAAATTAATATACTTATTCCAAACAATTTGGAAAATTCTTTGTTTTTGTTTTTTTTTTTTTTAATAGAGTCTCACTCTGTCACCCTGCCCAGGCTGGAGAGCAGGGGTGCAATCTTGGCTAACTGCAACCTGTCTCTCGGGTTCAAGCAATTCTCCTGCCTCAACCTCCCGAGTAGCTGGGACTACAGGCACGAACCACCACACCTGGCTATAAAGATGGGGTTTCACCATGTTGGCCAGGCTGGTCTTGAACTTCTGACCTCAAGTGATCAGCCTGCCTCAGCCTCCCAAAGTGCTGAGGTTACAGGTGAGCCACTGTGACTGGCCGGAGATTTCTAATATTAAAAAAAAAAAAAAAATACATGTTAATCTGCAATCCCACTGCCAAAGAACAACCACAATTGAGGTCTAGGCATACATAATTCCTATAGTTTTTCTTTTATATGCATATTACGTATTTTTTAAACAAAATTGAAATCTTTGGATATAATTTTATTTGCTGTTTTTTTCAATTAACATTATGTTGTAAACAGTTTTACCATGTCACTGTTCTCTGAAAATTTTAAGTGTCAGCATGATTTCTGTCATGTGGATAGATATACATAATGAAAAACTTCACCTATTTTAGAAAGTTTTCATGTATTTAAATGATATTGTAGCACAATATTGCCTAAACTGTATTTTGTGGAATATTCACGTTCTACAGGATGATCAAAGGCGTTCCAAATAGAATAGGAACACCTTTTATTATCAAGTAATTTTGAAAGGTGCTGAAATAAACAAAACCGTACAGAGATACAGTGCTACTCAGGATATTTAAAACATGTTAACTGTCTTCAAACTGTTAAACTTTGAAAATAGGGAGGATAAGAATGCTGCATTTCCAGCTGGGCGCGGTGGCTCAAGCCTGTAATTCCAACTCTTTGGGAAGCCGAGGCGGGCAGATCACTTGAGGCCAGGAGTCCAAGACCAGCCTGGCCAACATGTTGAAACCCTAGCTCTACCCAAAAATACAAAAATTAGCTGGTGTGGTGGCGTGTGCCTGTAGTCCCAGCTACTTGGGAGGCTGAGGAGAAAGAATCGCTTGAACGCGGGAGGTGGAGGTTGCAGTGAACGGAGATGGTGCCACTGCACTCCAGCCTGGGCTACAGAGCGAGACGCCATCTAAAAAAGTCTCACTTGGAATGCAGTTTAGAAAATGCTGCTTTAGCGTCCTCCCCAGGAAACAAAGCAAGTAGATCACAAATAGAAGTTGGAGCTATGCTCCCACTGGGCTTCCTTCTTCTCTACCCTCTTCCTTGGTATTAACGATTGCCCTGAGACTCTCTAAGATTCAGCGCTGCCCGAAACACGACCAAGGCACAGAAATGTGTCAGACTACAATTCATTTCCATGAAGGCATGAAGGAATCGACTACAAGCTAAATACAGCTCAACAAAGTTATGGGGATAATATTTAGCTAGCCATAGATTTACAGTATTTAAAAGCTTCTGCTACTCTTCCTTTGATTTAAAATTCACCTATGTATTTTTCATGGCAAGATTTCATGACACCAATTTATTTCCTATACTGTATTCATATTAGAAGGAAAATAGTTTTTAAATTGCAAAGCAAAAACTAGGAAATAACCCAGCTACGCAGGAAAATGTCAAGAATCTAACTCAAATTTCATTTTTTCATCCATGCCTCTGGCAGCACGTTTTGCAATTTCCAGAGAAAGGACTTATTTGGGAGGCAGTTCCCTCCAAAACATGCTTTTCTATACTTAGCCAAGCACTGAGAAATCCAAGCGATGAGCACGAGTCAGGCGTGGGTGCCCTATCCAGATTCCGCAGTGTGTGCATTTGAACGAGTTTTTATCCTAGCTTAAATTTCCTCTCATGCTAAAGGCAGAGCCTAACACTGCCCATCTCCTGGGTGCAGCGCGTATTATTAAGCCTGCCTCCGGACACAGTTCCGTATCCACAAACATACCCTAAAACAAGCATACAAAACGGAAATGGCGGGTAGCGGGTGGGCCTTCAGGGTATGCTTAACTTGCTAACGATCCCTCATGGGAGCAGAAATATTTAAAACTGAGGTGGTAGAGAGGTGCAAAGTCAGAACGGTATCAAGACCCTCATGTTCACTTGTGACCTGCTCTGTGGGCCTTTCACAAAAAGGGGGCTGAGAAGAGCCCCCCCCCCCAGACACACCCTCCCGGAGACCTGAGAGCATAGCGACGGACAGCTTCATCCACACAACCGGTCGCGCAAAGTGCGGCCCCTCGCGGCGGCTGGGGACCCCTCTACCGCCCTCTTTTCGGGGCGCCCCAAACCTCTGGCCACAGCTGGGGTTCCCAGAGGCACCCTCCCGCCGAGTCGCCTTGGGTGGCAGCCTGCTGAGAGGACTCTGGCGTGCGACCCCCGCGCCCCTCACGCGTTTCGTCTGGGCCAAGCCGCGCAGACGGGTTCCCTACTTCTTACCGCGCTGACCCGCCAGGGCCGCGCCCGGAGAACGAGCCTGATTGGAAGCCCGAGCCGGGGCCGGAGCAGAGGGACTGGCCGGCGCACTGGCGGTCTCCCGGGGGCTCCCCATGCTCCTTTTACCACAGGCCGCGGCGCCTGCGCTACCATGGCGACCGCGCGCGCGCTTACAGCCCGCCTGCAGCAGTGAGGCGGTGATACGAGCCCCGGCGCCACGCCGGCGCTGAGTCCCGCCGGCTGTGCCTGCCCGGGCCCTGAGGCCTGACTGCTGTGGGGTCCTCCGTCACCCTGCCCCGGTTAAAGGCAGCCCGAGGCTCCTCTGCAGGGAGGAGTTCCCGAGGTTTGAGGGGCTCCGCTGCTGAGCTAGGAACTGGGGCGACAAAGAAGATTATGACAAAGCCTCCTCCTGCAAAGTGTGCCCCGGCCTGCGGGCCCAGCGCAGAAGCAGATGGTAGCATCAGCACCTGATAGGGACGTAGGGCTTTGGGAACATAAAGGTTGTTGTGCTCCCAAAGGGCGGGGCCCCCAGGGAGGGCTTCTTGAAAGAGGTGAAGTCCGGAAGGTCCGAGTGAGGCTGCCAGAGAGCAGAAAAGATTGGTGCGTTCTGGGCATGCGCAGGTACGTGAAAGTAGCCAGTTAAAGAGAGCGGGGAAGCGGGCAGGGCCAGATCTACCTGTGTTACCCATAGCCCAGGGGTTCCATCTAGATCCTGCTGCTCCTGGCACAGAATGCCAATCACTGAAACAATGAGAATTACCAGGGAAGAAGGCTTTAATCTGATGCTGCAGCAGAGGAGATGAGAGATCAGTCTGAAACCTATCCCCCCAACCAACTAGAATTAGGGATTTACACAGTAAGAAAGAAATGTAGGAAATCAGGAATTAGGGAGGGGTAGGGAAGAGGAGTTGGTCAACAGCTATCAGGTGGTCGCTTAGGCGATCATGATGGGTGAGGGGTCTGGTGTCTCGCTGTCCAGATGTGATGATCTGGTAAGTTTCATTTCCTTGATAGTGAAATGGGAAAAGTTTCCTTCTTCCCCTTACAGGGCGTGCGATGGTGAGGGAGGAAAACAGGATCTGGAGCAGGGAACATAAAACCTATTTACAATTCGGCTATAACAGGAAATATCCTCTCCATAGGGCATACACATAAATGACTTTGTAACTTTACTTCATCCTCCCCATTTGCATAGGGCATACTGGAAGTAACCAATGGAAGCCTCTAGGGGGTCTGTAAACTTCCAAAAATTCTGTAACGGGGCGTTTTTGTCCCTATAATTTGGCCTGCTCTCACACTGTGGAGTGTACTTTCATTTTCACTAAATCCCTTCATTCCTTCCTTGCTTTGTTTGTGAGTTTTGTCCAATTCTTTGTTCAAGACGCCAAGAGCCTGGACACCTTCTACAGGTTAACAGTGGGGGTGTGGCTGGCTTCTTCGGTGCCCCTCTGCTCAAACCTCTAGGGGCAGCATGCAGACGGGCAGGTTGTGGGGCACTTGGGCTCCGAATCCATGGCAGTGTCTAGGGGATGAATGCTTACAGCTCCTGAAGCCCCAATGGACGTGTGTCACAGGGTGCTCTTTTATTTTGCAGTCTATAGGGGTTTTGTGTTAATCAGCTCAATTAGATGATGCGTGCTCAACGTCCAGCCACCTGTGTGCTCATCTGCCGGGGTGTTCCTCTCGACGTCCAGCCGCTTGTTTCTGTGCCTGCTAGGGTCTCGGAGTGTTTGGTTGGCTGGCTGGTTGGTTGGTTGGTTGGTTTTTTGAGACAGAGTCTAGCTCTGTCGTCCAGGCTGGAGTGCAGTGGCGGGATCTTGGCTCACTGCAAACGCCGCCTCCGGGCTTCAAGCAATTCTCCAGCCTCACCCTCCCGAGTAGCTGGGATTACAGGAGCCTGCCATCACTCCCAGCTAATTTCTGTATTTTTAGTAGAGACGTTTCACCTTGTTGGCCAGGCTGGTCTCAAACTCCTGACCTCAAGTGATCCACCCGCCTCAGCCTCTCAAAGTGCTGGGATTGGGATTAAAGGCCTGAAGCACCGCGTTCGGCCCTTTAATCCATTTTGATTTGATTTTTATATGTGCCTAGAGGCAGGGGCCTAGTTTCATCTGCATATGGATATCCAGTTTTCCCAGCACCACTATCGAAGAAACTATCTTTTCCCCAATGTATGTTACTAGTACCTTTGTCAAAAACGAGTTCACTGTAGATGTACGGATTTATTTCTGGTTTCTCTATTCTGTTCCATTGGTCTATGTATCTGCTTTTATGACAGTACTATGCTGTTTTGATTACTTTAGCTCTGCAATATAATTTGAATTTAGGTAATGTGATTCCTCCAGTTTTGTTCTTTTTGCTCAAGATAACTTTGGCTATTCTGGGTGTTTTGTGGTCCCATACAAATTTTAGGATTATTTTTTCTATTTCTGTGATGACGGTCTTTGGTATTTTGATAGGAATTGCAATAATCTGTAAATTCCTTTGGGTAAAATGGACATTATAACAGTAATTATAATTCTAATCCAGGAACATAAAATATCTTTCCTTTTTTTGTGTGTCCTCTTTAATTTCTTACATTAATGTTTTATAGTTTTTATTGTATAGATATTTCACTTCTTTGGTTGATTTTTATTCCTAGGTATTTTATTTGTGTCTACTATAAATGGGATTATTTTCTTACTTTTTCTGATTGTTCGCTGTTAACAAATATATAAATGCTATTGATTTTTGTATGTTCATTTTGTATCCTGCAACTTTACTGAATTTGTTTACCCCTTCTAATAATTTATTTTGGTGGAGTATTTAGGATTTTCCAAATACAAGAACATATTATTTGCAAACATGGATAATTCGAGTACTTCTTTTTCAATTTGGATGCCCTTTATATCTTTTCCCTTGTCTAATTGCTCTAGCTAAGACTTCCAGCACTACATTGAATAACAGTGGTGAAATTGGGCATTCTTGTGTTGTTCCAGATCTCAGGGAAAAGGCTTTCTGTTTTTCCCCATTCAGTATGATACTATCTATGGACCTGTCATATATGGCTTTTATTGTGTTGAAGTATCTTCCATCTACTTCCAGTTTGTTGAGGGTTTTTTATCATGAAGAGATGTTGAATTTTATCACATGCTTTTTCAGCATCAATTAAAATCATATGGTTTTTGTTCTTCATTCTGTTGATTGATAGGATGTATCACGTTGATTGATCTGTATATGTTGAACTATCTTTGCATTCTGAGATGAATGCCACTTGGTCATGATGAATGACTTTTTTAATGTTTTGTTTAATTCAGTTCGCTAGTATTTTGCTGAGGATTTTTGCATCAAGGTTCATCAGGGACATGCCCTATAGTTTTCTCACTGCTTTTTTTTTTTAAATTATACTTTAAGTTCTGAGGTACATGGGCAGAGCATGCAAGTTTGTTACATAGGTATACATGTGCCATGGCAGTTTGCTGCACCCATCAGCCTGTTATCTATATTAGGTATTTCTCCTAACACCGTCCCTCCTGTAACCTCCCACCCCCCGACAGGCCTTGTATGTGATGTTCCCCTCCCTGTGTCCATGTGTTCTCATTGTTCAACTCCCACTTATAAATGAGAACATTCAGTGTTTGGCTTTCATGTGTTCTGTTCTTGTGTTAGTTTGCTGAGAATGATGGTTTCCAGCTTCATTTATGTCCCTGCAAAGGACATGAAATCGTTTTCTCACTGCACAGTATTCCATGCTGTATATGTGCCACATTTTCTTTATCCAGTCTAGCATTGATGGGCATTTGGGTTGGTTCCAAGTCTTTGCTATTGTGAACAGTGCCACAATAAATATACGTGTGCATGTATCTTTGTAATAGAATGATTTATAATCCTTTGGGTATATACCCAGTAATACGATTGCTGGATCAAATGGCATTTCTAGTTCTAGATCCTTGAGGAATCACCACATTGTCTTCCACGATGGTTGAACTAATTTACACTCCCACCAACAGTGTAAACGCATTCCTATTTTTCCACATCCTCTCCAGCATCTGTTGTTTACTGACTTTTTCATGATCGCCATTCTAACTGGCATGAGATAGTATCTCATTGTGGATTTGATTTGCATTTCTCTAATGACCAGGGTTGATAAGCTTTTTTTCATCTGTTTGTTGGCCACATAAATGTCTTCTTTTAAGAAATGTCTGTTCATATCCTTCACCCACTTTTTGATGGGGCTGTTTGGTTTTCTATTGTAAATATGTTTAAGTTCTTTTTCTATTCTGGATATCAGCCCTTTGTCAGATAGATTGCCAAAATTTTTGGAATTTTCAGCCTTATTGCTTCTTCCCATCTTTGTGGATTTATCTACCTTTGGTCTTTGAAGTTGGTGACCTTCAGATGAGGTCTCTAAATGGACTTTCTTTTTGTTGATGTTAATACCATTCCTTCTAACCGTCAGGCCCCTTTGCGCCAGGTCAGCTGGAGTTTACTGGAAGTCCACTCCAGACCCTGTTTGCCTGGGTATCACCAGCAGAGGCTACAGAACAGCAAAGATTGCTGCCTGTTCCTTCCTCTGGAAGCTTTGTCCCAGAGGGGCACCCACCAGATGCCAGCCAGAGCTCTCCTGTATGAGGTGTCTTTTCCACTGGGAGGTGTCTCCCAGTCAGGATACAGGGGGGTCAGGGACCCATCTGAGGAGGTGGTTTGTCCCTTATCAGAACTGAAACACTGCTGGAAGTTCCACTGCTCTCTTCAGAGCTGTTGGGCAGGGTTGTTTAAGTCTGCTGAAACTGCACCCACAACTGCCTCTTCCCCCAGGTGCTCTGTCCCAGGGAGTTTGGTGTTTTATCTATAAGTCTCTGACTGGGGCTGATGCCTTTTTTTCAGAGATGCCCTGCCCAGAGAGTAGAAGCAGTCTGGCCTCATCGGCCTTGCTGAGCTGCAGTGGTCTCTGCCCAGTTTGAACTTCCCAGCCACTTTGTTTACACTGTGACAGTAAAATCGCCCACTCAAGCCTCAGCAACGGTGGACACCCCTCCCCACACCACGCTTGAACATCCCAGGTCAAGCTCAGACTTCTGTGATAGCAGTGAGAATTTCAGGCCAGAGGCTCTTAGCTTGCTGGGTTCCCTGGGGGTGGGTACCACCGAGCCAGACCACTTGGCTCCCTGGCTTCAGCCCCCTTTCCAGGGGAGTGATCGGTTCTGTCTCACTGGCATTCCAGGTGCCCCAGTGGCCTGGGGTATGGAAAAAAGGCTCCTGTGGCTAGCTTGGTGTCTGCCCAAATTGGCCGCCAGGTTTTGTGCTTGAAACCCAGGACCCTGGTAGTGTAGGCACCGAAGGGAATCTCCTGGTCTACAGGTTGTGAAAAATGTGAGAAAAGTGCAGTGTCTGGGCCGGAGTGCACAGTATAGTCCCTACTGGCTTCCCTTGGCTAGGAGAGGGCATTCCCCGACCCCTTGTGCTTCCCTGGTAAGGCGACGCCCTACCCTGCTTCAGGTTGCCCTCCATGGGCTACACCCACTAATCAGTCCCAGTGAGCTGAACCGGGTACCTCAGTTGGAAATTCAGAAATCATCTGCCTTCTGCATTGATCTTGCTGGAAGCTGCAGACTGGAGCTGTTCCTATTCAGCCATCATCTTTATTTCCAGTTTTCTCTTTTTGGTGTGTCTTTGTCTGGTTTTGGCATCAGGGTAATACTGGCCTCATAGAATGAGTTTGAAAGTAGTTTTTCCTCCTCTATTCTTCAGAATAGCTTGAGTAGGATTCGTATCAGTTCTTTAAATATTTGATAAAATTCAGCATTGAAGCCATCAGGTCCCAGGCTTTTCTTTATGAGGAGACTTTTTATTATGACTTTGATCTTATTACTTGTTATTGGTCTATTGAGGTTTCAGATTTCTTCATGGTTCAATCTTGGTAGATGGTATATATCTAGGAATTTATTCATTTCTTCTAGGTTTTCCAATGCATTATCATATACTTGATCTTTTGAATTTCTGCTGTATCAGT